AAGACTCTCGAGCGTGTTCTCTGTTGCCTTTTGCTTCGTCTTCACTCTCTCAAGGAACTTCCAAATAGTCTGATGACTACATGTAATGGTTGAAGAGAAACGGCGATGCCAACCCTCGATCTTGTTGTTGGTCCTGTCGTCGTTGTTTTGCGTCCGCTCGTGCAAGTTCCACAGCTTTGGGAGGAAATGAAGGGGTTCTACGCTCGCCGTTCTGCCTAAGTCGGCCGATGTAGTATTCTTCGAAGTAGTTCAACAGCGGATCCAGGCATCGGGGGCATTGCTGTCCAGAACTTCAAAGTAGTCAATGACATCTTAACATCTCTCACAAATCCTATTGTTTTTAACCAACAGCCTCGGACTCAAGTGTCTAGCACGAGAATCCTGGGAGTCATTGTAGACAGTGATGTTTCTTGGTCTGGTCACATAGGCTTTGTCGTTAGGAAGACTTGCACAAAAGTTGGCGCTCTTCAACGGTGTTTTCGGCAACTAAGTTTGAAGGCAAAACGGCAGTTTATCCTCTCTGTTATCCTGCCTGACGTACTATACTGCTGCTCTTGCTTTGCAATGAAGCTATCCGCCAAGGACCGACAGCGACTCTCGTCCGTTTATCGTCGTGCTGTACGCGCTGCTTGTGGCTCGAAACTACACGATGACGTCATGCCGCTGTTAGCTAGATTGTCGATTGATTCATTTGAACATTACCTTATTCGTAGCATTGCTAAATTTATCCATGTTAATCATGTCGTTTTCCCTCTCCCAAATCTGACGAACCTTTTCCCTCAAGTTTCAACCGGCCCTAGGTTGAAACTTGCTGCTATTGCAATATCTAAATTCCGGATGACTGACGGTGTCAATTCCTTTTCAAATCGTGCTGCACTGTTCTTTAATTCTTTGCCTATGGAGTGGCGCGCCCAGCACCGCACTTCTACATTTGCTAAGCACCTTCAGACCATGCTAAAAGACGCAGCGTCTTTTCAGAAGTATTTTGATCTTCTCTTCAGCAAACGGCCTCATTGATCTGCATCGCTTGTATTGTATACCTGTGTTTACTGCTTACTGCTGCTTTATTGTTCCAAGTATCAGTTTAAAGAGAATTGGTGAGCACACATGCTCATTCCCTGGGCACTGCAAATTCACAACTCATTTCATTTCATAAAATGGCAATAAATAAGATAAATTGTGCACTCATAACAACAGCAAAAATGAAGAAAGTCAAGTTCCATAACGTTTTCTTGTGACTGTCATCAGTGGAACGCCGTCACATAAAAATGTAATAACTAAAACACACACTTATATACATGTAGCTAATATGGTTTCAGGTAGAAATACAGCAGCTAACAGGTACAAAAAGGGAAGTTTGCACCTTTGCAATGTGTGAATATAGTGTATGTGAGAAAGGTAGTGGCAGATGAATGTGATACTGTGTGAATGAATGTAATGGTGCATTTCATTTCACATAATCATTTTCAACGTTTCGGCAAATTGCCATCATCAGGATACAATATGAAGTGGAAGTCTGCCAAGGAGCAGTTATATACACTAATTTGTGTTCTTAGGTGTTGATAATATTTTTTTATGACTACATATGTTACCTCAGTGCTAGAAATATGACATGTCTAAAACTAGTGAAAGATCACAAGTTTTCACTGACTCATATGCTGGGTGTTGGTAATAAGTTAGCACAGCGCAGATGTCACCAGATAACTTGAGAAATGTCTGAACAGGTTTCTCGCAAGCAATTCACGAATGTGACCATGTCAGTGGTTTCCAGTAAATACTGTCACCTAGATAGACAGTGTGGTGTGATTGTTTTAGAGTAATGACCATCCAGTACTGGTGTTGATCTCTGGGCCTTCGTTTCTGATCTCCACTGCCTCTCGCAATTTGCGGCTTGCCCTGTCACTGGCTCTTGCAACCACAGACACTGCCGAGAAGATGCTGTCCCCGACACCTAGGTTGATCCCTGCATGCTTAGCTCGCATGTGGTCACCCCATGGCTTATCCACAGTGCGCCTACGAGCCTCACCGTTGTGTTCCTCCAGTCTTGTCTCCAGTGTGCGACCCGTCTCTCCAATGTATTTTTCCCTGCACAACTTGCATTGCAGCCGGTATATCACATTCTTCTTCAAACATATTTTCACTCCACCCGACTTACAAGTCAGACACGGCCCCAATGGGCGTCCTCTTCTCTTTGTCTTTCTGATGTTGGGCTCCTTAATGCAGCTGGGCGGACTTTGTGCTGAGTGACAGAGCTGACGTTTGAGGCTACCCGCATGCTCGTAAACCACCCGGACTGGTAACTTGTGCTTCCGGATAGCTTTGCTGACGCTGTGATGCACCCTGTCCGACTTATACGGCAGCTTCAGAAACGCACAACACGGATTACCTCGGCGGCGACGCTTGGGTTTCCTTGCTGCTTCTCGGGCATTGATGATGAGGCTCTCTGGATAGTGGTTGAGTTGAAGTTGGTCTTGAATTTTCTGTTCACTTTCTTTACACATGGTGTCATTGGAAGACAGACGTTGTGCTCTTAAGAATTGAGACTTGGCAACGGCAAGTTTGATGTGATGAGGTACAGCAGATGCGTAGTCTATCAGCAATCCACTATTGCATGGCTTTTGGAAGAGCTTGTACGTCATCTGGCCCGACTGTTGTATGGCAATCGTCACGTCCATGTAATCAATCCAGCCTTTGCTACTGCTGAGCTCGTAGGTGAACTTGAGTCGGTCGTGTCCTGCATTGAAGTGCTGTATTAGCTCCAAGAGGCGCAGCCCGCGAGGATACTTGATCCCGTACTTTGGCTACGTCCCCACGCATGGCATCCGGAGCATGAGTGTGGTTGCCAGTTACCGCCGTCACCAGCCCGTGCCTTGTCCTCATCCTTCCCTTGCAGCTCAAGGCATCCTTCTCCTCGCACTTCCAGTAAACTACTCCATCCTTTCCAACCTTGTCCACAACGTAGCCATACCCACGGTGAATGAGCTTTTCTTTTCCATGCTTGGTGGTCGTCTTGAGATCTACTTCCATCATCAGTTCTCGTAGTTGCTTGAAGAACATCAACAGATATGCCTTATATGGTTGATTGTTGGGAGGGCACACATATGTAATAAAGTTTTTGTTTTGATCCATCTGTTAGAATTGCACCACCACGCTCACGCCATGGAAACCTTTCGCTCCCTTCACTTGTTTGTGTCCTCGCCCATGTTCGCCTTGCATTTGCACATTTCCCTTTCCCTTCGTTTGGTTTTGTTAGGTATATTTAGAGGTCGATTTCGTGTCATTCGACGAAAATCCCACACCTCGACAAAGGTTGTCGATGAAAATACCTTTCGTCTAACCTGTCACTCGGCGAGAAGTTCACACGTCGAAAAGGACAGTCACCTAATGGGCCAGTCAACGAAATGGCTTGGGGACGAACAGGATTCGACGAACAGTTGTTCGTCGAAAATGTTTTCTGCGAACTGTCGTGGAAGCGAAAAGGAGAAAAGCGAAAATTCTGTGCGCTGTGTGACTGCTATGGAAAAAAATCAAAGTAAATCGATCCCTGAAGTACATTCACCAAGTGTCTACCTAATCACAAAATTGACGCGACAGGCCGACTGACTCCGGCGCAAAACCTGACAGTAGTTAGTTATCATGTATGACAGAAGCTATTGTCTTGGCGTGCAGTGCAGTGACATCACTGAGTGTCTTCTTAACTGTTACTGCATGCTGCCCGTGGATGGCTATAGTAGCAGCACATTGCTCATGTTTGATCACATCGAGCAGTTGGGCACGTTCTTACCTGATCTATTGAACTGGACTTAGCTTTCTTTTACGACGTTGCCGTGTGGTTTGTTTGTGCGGTTGTTGCCTGTATAGGTTTGATTCTGATGCTATGTTGTCGAGTGATGAGGAGAATGCAGCCAAGACAATCCCGGCTGTGGATGAGAGCAAGAAGAGGAAGAAGGTAGGTGACATGGGAGAGCTGTTACAGTGAATACCTGTGTGTGTGTGTGTGTGTGTGTGTGTGTGTGTGTGTGTGTGTGTGTGCGCGCGTTTGTGTGTGTGTGTGTGTGTGTGTGTGTGTGTGTGTGTGTGTGTGCATGGTGTGTGCATGGTGTGTGCATGGTGTGTGGTTCTTATTCAATGGCAATCTTTTTTCGCTTACTTGGGTACATGTCATGCTATTCGCACCAACGTTTGTTCCAGGCACCAAGCAAGCCGAAGCAGCCAAAGGAGAAGGTAGAAAAAGCAGAAAAGAAAGAAAAGAAGGAACCGAAAGAAAAGAAGGAACGGAAAGAGAAGAAGGAAAAGCCATCAGCCAGGTTGGTTAGCAGGATTGCGTCCAATGTTTGTATCCACGTTTTGCAATCCCATTCCTGCCCCAATATGTCATTGCTTTTACATAGTGTTCCGAGGCTATGTCTGGCAGTAGACAGTCGACAGTATAACCCGTCAAAGGCGACCTCCTTGCACGGGTGGTCACCTTATCCAGGGTCTTTTGACTGGAAATAACATGCCGTGGTTCTGGTTGCAGTGGTCCTGTAGGACAGTAAATTCAGTCGGTCGCCTTATCAGAGTGGTTACCTTGACAGATTTTACTGTGGTGTGTGTCTAACAGTTAGCAGTGGTCTATATCTGTGTTTTGAAATGTTGCATACACTACACACATACCGGTACCTCTCGGTTATCCGGACCCCGAGGTTACGAGTACTTCGGTCTACCGAGCACCCTTTGGGCGAGTTTTAGTGGAAATATTACTACTGAACTGTCACTTTTTGTGGAAATAGTGACGTCATAATTAGGGCTCAAACGGTTAGTCCGATTAACCGGTTGCAGACCGGTTACGAAGAATTAACGGTTAACCGATAAAGATAACGGTTACGCAGTAACTTTTCAGTCAATTTTTCAAGTATCAGGTCGTTGCAAAGTGTGCACTTTCGCGGGCTGTCGCACGCGTACGCAATTTCTGGGCTGTCAACTCGGTCATATCTGGTCTCTTGGTGTGAGAGTATGTATGAATGAGCATGCAAGAGAATGTACAAGTGTGCGTTGTACTGAATAGGGTACATTTTTTGAATGAGTATAGTCAAATATACGGTTAAAAAAGAGTCCGCAGGACTGCCGTGGCTTATAGGTTATAACCGGTTAACCGACCGTTAGCTTAGCAGTTAACCGTCAGGGGTAAAACCGTGACCGTTTGAGCCCTAGTCATAATATTATTATGCCATTTTATGGCCTTTCCGTATCAAAATGTATGTAATTCGGAGTCACGGACATTTCAAAGTTGCGGGCAGTGGCCAGTCCCTGACCGCCCGGATAAACGAGGTATGAGTATACTTACCTACCACTGTCACACTGTGTGCCTCACAGTCTCTCACCGGCATTCACAGCAACCCACCCCATTATTCCGATTTGCTTCAGTGGTATTTTCTCAGAAAAGGGAGGAAGGTAGCACAACTTTGTTATAATTGAACACCTGAAGATTGTTGTTAGTTTTGCTACATGTATAATCGATAGCTCGATCGTTAACAACATATTAGTAGTTGTTAACCAATTTCGATGATCGTTTCACCCCTAAATAATCATCCATGGAATATTCTCTTCAAATTCTGCAGATGTCTTTAAAGCTTTGGAAGTGGTATTGTGAAATAAAAAATGGGGGTCCCCGGAGTTTTACTACTATTCTAGTTGTCTAAAAGTCGCAAATGTTGCCATTTTGCCCGAAATTCCAATGTTCCATATTCCTCGATATCACAAAGAACGAATATGGGAACCTACAAACTTTATCGCAGATTCAGAATCAGCATGAACTTTTCTTGGTAGTCCACCATTATGAGCAAATTATTACATTGATGAAATTCTGGTGAATACCTTCCGAAAAAGTGTGTGGCGACGCCTGAAACTGTAGCGAATTACCTTTTATTTTAAGTTGCAAATACCGACACAACGACCAAGAAAAAGAAAGTGGAGATTATTGATAGAGTATAATCTGTGTGTGTGTGGCAGACAACTTGATATGTTAACCCACTTTATATTCTCGTTGTTTTGTTCACCGTAGCTCTACGAGTGTGGCGAAAGCCAAGAAGAAGGAAGCACCGATCTCGAAGGAGGAGATCAGTGATAGTGACAGTGGTGGTAGTGATGTTGTCATGGAGGATGAGAGTGATGATGATGGGGCACCGCCGGCAAAGAGGTCCACACGCTCACGACGCGGACAGTCGAACGACGAGGAGCTAGCCCAGCTGCCGTCCGAAGGCTCGAATGATGAGGAAGAAGCCGAGCTAACGTCTGGAGCTAGTGACGTAGGCAGTGATGATGGTGATGAAAGCGACTGAGCAGACTGAGCTAAGCTTGCGCGTGCGTGCGTGGGCCCATTGGTAGCCATTTGCCGTGCGTCGACTCCCTGCTGTTTCCGTGCTTTGTGTGTTGTTGTCGCTGTGTGTCTTTGTGTGTGTGTGTGCGTGTGTGTGCGTGTGTGTGCGTGTGTGTGTGCGGGTGTGTGTGTGTGTGTGCGTGTGTGTGTGTGTGTGTGCGTGTGTGTGTGTGTGTTGTGTGTATGTGTGTGTGCGTGTGTGCGTGTGTGCGGTGTGTGTGTGCGTGTGCGTGTTGTGTGTGTGTGTGTGTGTGTGTGTGTGTGTGTGTGCGTTCATTTTCATGAATGTGTTCATTCACGTGTTGTGTTGTTAAATTTGTTTTACTATGTTGGCGTCTCGTTGTCTTTGTGTGGCTTTGAACTTTAAATTACACTGCTGCATGTTGAGCCGTACGTTGCAGTACATCAGATGTTCATGTGCCATTGAATGTATATATTGGACCCTGTAGTAATTCCCACACTGTTGCTGCCACCGAAAGTCATACAGTTTGGTTGTACATGTTACAATACCCCGTAGCCTTCTCTGTTTCTGCCACTTCTTATGCTGCTTAGGCTTTCTCACACTTCTATGACCTGGCCTGGTTGCCATGGTTTTTTTTAAAGACTTGAATTCCTTACTCTGTTTGAGCCTCTGTCTGTGATTCGATGCTCTTATACACGCTTTGCTTTGCTTTGCCAACTACTCGCTTCACTGTTTTTGTATTCGGTGAAGATTGCTTGTGTGTGGTTACGGCAGGGAGTAGTACAATACTTTCTGGTTTACGGTAATAGGGTTTGGCCAGTTTGCTGCTGCTGCTGCCGCGCGTATGTGCGTGTGTGTGCGTGTGTGTGTGTGTGTGTGTGTGTGTGTGTGTGTATGTGTGTGCGTGTGTATGTGTGTGTGTATGTGTGTGTGTGTGTGTGTGTGTGTGTGTGTGTATGGTGGCAACTGTTTGTTTTTACCTTGCCTGGGCATTGGGATGGGTGAGGGTTCAACTCACAGCCACTAGCTTCCTCCGTTAGGAAAATGTTATCTCACTCATCTGTGCAGTTTTTGTTTGTTTCCACCTGCCTGTAGATTTGTTGTAGATGCAGTACACGTACCTGCATGGGTGTAAAATTCATGTACCTGTAAGTGTATGGCTGTCTTTAATTCATGTACCTGGATGGCTGTCTTTAATTCATGTACCTGTATGGCTGTCTTTAATTCATGTACCTGTATGGCTGTCTTTAATTCATGTACCTGTATGGCTGTCTTTAATTCATGTACCTGTATGGCTGTCTTTAATTCATGTACCTGTATGGCTGTCTTTAATAATTCATGTACCTGTAAGTGTATGGGTGTCTGTGATACTATTATTACTGCATGTTGTGATGTGCATGCTTGTGTAATTTGCATCGTGTGCATGCAAGTGATTCATTGCTGGTGGTGCAATTCGGATGTGTGCGCAGATATCCTGCAGCACAGCTTCAGGACTACGGCTAGTTTACAGAATTGTTGACCCAGCATTGTTAGTCCTACATGGTTATAGGGCATGGCATGAGAAGATGTGAAGACCACTGGCTATCGGTTACATGGACGCCGTGTGATCAGGTGATTGGCACAAGCTATACTGAAGCTGATGATGAAGATGGCATCAGGTTTCAAAATCTGAGGTAGGCTTATCTGAAAAATGTGTTGTGTTTAAAAGTTAGGAATGCGTTGCGTTCAGTTTAGCGTGTGTTGTGTTCAGTTTAGAATGTATTTGTAGTAATTCTAAATCATTTCAAACGAAAGTATGGCAACATGTTAAAGGGGAAGTTAAGCCTAAAATCAAATTTTCACTAGTTGTAGTCTTTGGGGCGCTCACTGCTGAGTCGAATGGTCTTGGTCCGAGGAAGCTGAGACGCTCCCTTCCTCCTATATTCCCAATCGAACTCTCGCACTTCCACCGAAACTGGTTGACTGCGCCCTACTAGATATAGATGGGGATTTGTATGCAAAATGTCACTAAAAGCGCCATGTCGTTCTTATAAAAGCACGGATGACCGCGATTGGCCCATATGTTGTAGTCGTTTGGACACTGAGTCGACTGGTTTGGTCCGAAAAGGCTGCGATGCAGCGTTCCTCCTTTATTCCCAATCGAACATGGTTGAACAAGCAGTCACGTGCTCCTGCGTACACCAGTCACTTTCGGTGGAAGTTCGCGAGTTCGATTGGGAATAAAGGAAGAAGGGAGCGTCTCAGCTTCCTCGGACCAAGACCACTCAACTGTTTTTTTCTCTTTTTTTCCCCCGTGTGAACCGAACAGTGGGAGTGGCTGGATAATGCTGCTGCGAAGTTTCATTTATAGTATTGCACTCGAAGTATATGCAGCAGGAGAAGACATTCCTTTCACAGCAATCTGTTCCCTTGACATATGTGATTCCGTGGCCACGATGATTTCCGGCTCAGAGATCACAGTGATCCGTGGAGTTTGCACTTTTGACCGCGGAAACAGAGTTCTGCTGGTGACTATGCAGGCAACAACCCAAAAGTCGTTTTTGTTATGTATCTGAGCACATTGATGTTGCCATTAACGTTACCAGTATAGATACATGTAAGTGTAGGCAAGAGTACATAACCCCCAGAGTGTGCAACTCCCACATACCCTGCTGTCCCGACAGAATTTCAAGTTGACGTCTTTATGTATGACGCAATGCTCCTTGCACCAGTGCAGTGATTTACAACATGTGTACGGGTGTCAACGCATCACACGTTTTTCTTTGCAATAATTTGTACAGGATCGATCGGCTTTGCGTCAACCACATGTTCTGCACAGGTTCCAGATTTGTCTGATAAATTAATCCGTGTACAGTGCACATTGCATCATCAAAATGACGTCAACTTGAAATTCTGTCGGGACAGCACCCATGCATAGTGGAGTTGCACACTCTTGGGGGTTATGTACTCTTGGTGTAGGCGAATGCAGGCATTTCCAAGGCTTGTCACGGGCGGTGGCAAGAATAGTGTGAAAAGCATTCCTACATTTTTAATACTAGGCTGTCATATCCTCTATGAGAATGGCGAAACGTTCCCAGAAAGTGCTGCAGAATTATTTTATGGTGAAAAAAGGAGGACAAAAATTATTTTAGATGCAGACATGTCGACAATGGAAAATGGTGTGGATTAATCATGGCAATCATTAGCCTTTACCGATATTCTTGTTAGTGGTGAACCTTGAGAATAACAACCTCGGATCATAACACTATCTCGCTAATAACAACACTATCATATTCAGACCAAGCAGGCCCGGCGGAACCGCTCCGGTTGGTCAGGCCATGGCACGTGTATGTACATGCGTACATAGTACATACATGATGTAGTGCATACATGTACATGTAATTGCAGGTGCTAGCAACAACAGTGCATGGGAGTGCAAAAATACCACTATCCAGGAGAAGCGAGTATCGGGGCCAAACATACATGTATGTACAAGGCATTACTTTACAGAAGGTCCCAGCCGCACCGGCCTGCATTATTGTTACTTATCATAGTGAAGCTAGCTAGTTTTAGATTTTAAATCACAAAACAATAACAAAATAGAACTCAGATGGTGAGCCAAGGAAAAAAATTGTAACATGGAAGTTGTGGGCACCAGTTTAGCGATCGACTGGCTGACTGTTCAAAATCTGGTTCAGTTGGTGGACTCGATCGCATAACTTGTGCCCACAATTTCCAAGTTACAAATAACAAAATATTACAACACTTTTCTCATGGCCGAGTGAGGGTCGCGCTATTCGCAACGTTGACTGTGTTCGGCACTGGGGGCTGATAATTATATGCATGTTTGCATCATTGTACTCTGTGGCATACATATTTGCATTGTACTCTGTCCATACATATTAGGAAACAGTTCTGTCTGCAGATTGAGTATTAGATAAACCTTGTTTTGTTGAACCATGTTGTTAGTTGACAGCATGTAACAATGTGGAGACCACTGTGTTCCAAAACAGTGATCTTGCTACAACCTCCGTGGTTGGTAGAGCCCCGGACTGTTGCGACCATCTGAACCGTATGGGTGCTAGACCCGGTTTGGGATGACATCCAGGAGCGAACAAAGAATCCACGACTGACGGTACAACAACAACAAGAAAACTAAGACAACTCCCCTAGAATACAGAGGGTCAGAAGCGGGTCTAACATCCATACGGTTCAGATGGTCGTGAAGACCGGGGATCTACCGACCACGGAGGTGTGTGTGTGTGTGTGTGTGTGTGTGTGTGTGTGTGTGTGTGTGTGTGTGTGTGTGTGCGTCCGCGCTCCCCTCCAACTTGGTCAAGCGGAGGTGGAATGCGTACCGCATTTCAAATACCTCGGTTCTGTAGTTGACAGCGGTTGCCGTTCGTCCCGGGACATCGCCGCAAGGATTGCCCAAGCCTCCAGGGCCTGCGGTGCTCTTCGGAGGTCTGTATTCTCCAATCCACATCTGCTGATGCACACCAAGCGGTGCGTATTCAATGCTTGCGTTCTGTCCCTGCTGTTGTATGGCTCTGAGTGCTGGACGCCCCTTCAGCATGACCTGCAGAAGCTCTCTACCTTCAGCATGAGGTGCATCCGATCCATCCTCGGGGTCTCTCGAAGCCGGATGTGGGACGAACACATCACCAACGAAGAGCTGCTGGTGCGCTGGGGAGACTCCGTGACGATTAAAGACAAAATTGCACATCGGCGGTTGGAGTGGTTGGGGCATGTGGCGCGGATGCCGGACAACCGCATCCCAAAACAGGTACTGTTTGGCTCCTTCTTGCAGCGTCGCCCAGCACATGGCCCACGCCGCAGATGGAAAGACTGTGCTGTCCGGAATCTACGTGCCCGTGGCGTGGAGGCATCATGGTATGATGTTGCATGTGAGTCTCGCGCGGAGTGGCGCAGCACCTACCAAGAGCCTGACAATGTGCCTGAGCCTCCGCCCCGAGTGGTATGTACGGTATGCGGACGGGATTTTGCACGGAAAGGAGACATGGCTCGGCATAAGTGTCTGGAGGAGCGTGCGCGGCCTGTGTCTGAGCGGCGGGGCGCCAGTCAGTGCGGGCGGTGTGGGCGGTGGCTGAGAAGCCGCGGTGGCTTGGTCCGGCATGTGTGTGCCTCAACGGTGGATGCCGCAGTGCCACCTGGAACTACCGGAACGTCGGCACCGGCGGAGGGATGTTGTGCCGCGCATTGTGACAGGTGTGGTCGCTGCTTTCGCGGTGTCCGGGGACGGGGAAGGCATCGCTGTTCAAGGGTGGCGCATAGACCAACAGCAGAGGAGCGCTCAGCCTTCCAGCACGTGTGCATATGCGGCAAGCGGATGCGACTACCCGTGCACCTGGAGCGTCATCGAGCGTCGTGTCCTCTCTCTCTCTCTTCTCAAGTTTCCCATTGATGGGATCACGTGACCCTTTTGCGGCAGTGACTCTACAGGACAGGACAGGTGTGTGTGCGCCGGTGTGCGTGTGTGTGTGTGTGTGTGTGTGTGTATGGAGGGTGGGGGGGGGGGGGGGGGGCTTCTTCGTTCAAGGTAAGCCATTGGCATTGCCATTGCCATTGGTAGATCTATGTAGAAACTACAATCTGTGTCACTGTCAGCTTTTAGGATACATGCTAGGAAGAGTAAGTCTGTGCCACACAGTAGTGCTCACCATGGTCACATGGCACCATGCTGTCCCTCCAGGAAATCGCGATTCCACGGATGCAACAAATTT